GTACGAGAAGACAGTTGCAATCGGTTTTGGGAATGTTGAACTTTGCAATGAAGATCATTCCGCAGGGGCGGTCCTTCATTTCCAGGTTGTTGGCCTTGCTGCCGACGGCCGCCGATCTAGATGCCCTAATCCATGTGGATTCGGCAGGTCGGGCTGACTTGCTGATGTGGGATGAGTTTTTGCGGCGGTGGAATGGAATTTCCATGTTCATTCCGCAGGCCACGGCCTCGTCTCCGCGGGTCATCTCGGACGCCGCGGCCTCAGTTGGCTTCGCGGCAATTTTTGGCACTCACTGGTTTTCCAGCACTTGGCCTGAGGAGGTGAAGTCTGTCCCGGCCTTTTTTGAAACATCAGCATTATTTGAGATCTATCCCATAGTGGCGGCAGCTGTCACTTGGGGGCAGGATTGGGCAGGTCAGACGGTGACCTTCTTTAGCGATAATCAGGCGACAGTGGAAATCATCAATAAAGGCAGGTCCAAGTCCTTGTTGATTATGTCATTTCTACGCCGGTTGACATGGCTGGCGTTACATTACAGGTTTAACATTTCATGTTCATTCATTTCTGGTAGTAGCAATGTGGCGGCTGGTGCATTGTCGCGGCTTAATATGCACGTTTTCTTTCAACAGATGCCAGAAGCAGATGCCTGCTCAACAGTGGTGCCGTTGTTCCATCAGTTACTGCTGGACTAGATAGACATCGGCGCAACGCAACCAGGCTTGTTAATGACTCCCTTGCTAGTAATACTCGTAGGGCTTACACAGGGGCGTGGCAGCTTTTCAATAAATTTGTGAATAGATACAATGTGCTTGACCCGGGTAGTACCTCTAGCCTCCTAGCCTTCGTAGCTTATTGTCATACAGACCTTAAGCTGGCCTATAGTACAATAAAGATGTATCTAGCCGGGGTGCAACACTTCTTAGCAGTAAGTCACCCGGACAGACCTTCCGTGTTTTCTTCGCAGCCTATTAGAGCCATTCTCAAGGGTATCCAGAAATCCCGGGCGGCGGTGCCTAGTTCAAGGAAACCCCTATCAAGTGACATCTTCAGGGCCTTGGCCGTGTTGTTAGACAAAGGGCCGTTCGGGTTGGTACCCAGCATGGTTTTGAAAGCGGCAATTTTCTTAGCATTTTACGGGTTCTTGAGGCCAGGTGAGTTCACAAGGGTAAACAGTAAGTCAAGTGTGGTCCTAAGGAAACATTTAGTAAAGGGTCCATTGGTCTATACTCTATCTTTGGCACGTACCAAAACTAACCAGGTGGGTACACCTTCTATTGTCACTTTTTTCCCTTCTGGCAACGCTTGGTGCCCCGTCAAGGTGTTAGACCAGTTAAACTCCCAGTTGTCAACACGGCCAGACGACAGTCCGCTGTTGCCTTTCCCCCGCGACCCGTTGACTGCCAGCGTTTTCATCCGGCATGTACGGGTTCTTCTCGCCCAACTTGGGGTAAACACCAAGCATTATTCGGGGCACTCGTTCCGGATAGGTGCAGCGTCGGCCGCTTCCCGGCATGGGGTGCCAGCACACGTGATCAAGTGTTTGGGTAGGTGGAATTCTAATTGTTTCAGTAGATACATTCCAAGTCCTAGATCGGAGATGGCTGAGGCCTTCTGTAAACTTGCTTGTTAATTGGGATTAATAAAGGCATTACTCTACTCGTCTGTTTTTGCCCCCTTATTTGGCACACTGACCACAAAAATCATGACACACATCAGGTTGGTATCGGTAGGGGTCATGAAGACTTCGGAAGCGTAAGTAACTCTGACCACAAGTAATAGGCCAAGGGATCTTGGCCGTGTTTGTGGGAGGAGTTGCGGCGGCTCTCCTCCCCTTAAAAGGGGTGGCGGGGAGGTCCTCCGCACGTCACGGCGAGGTCGTGTCTAACCCTCCCGCCCTTCCCCAGGTTTATCATATCACTAGAGCGTGCCCCCTTATTTGGCACGCTGACCACAAAAATCATGGCACACATCAGGTTGGTATCGGTAGGGGTCATGAAGACTTCGGAAGCGTAAGTAACTCTGACCACAACTATTTTTATTCAAAATGGAAGAACACCATAAGGTAATAATTTACCTTATATCATATGAGATTCTTGCCTCCCTCCTGTCTCATGACCATCCTCTCAACTCCCATATTTGATTGAATGCTGCCTTATACCTGGCAAGGAGAGAAAGTGGTCAAAGTCTTTTAGCTCTGCAAACCAGAATATTTCCAGAGCTTACTGGATATTTTCTGTGGCTTTCCACCACTTTGTGAAAGTGCCTGCAGCAGATTTTTCCTGGCCAATCATGTGTTTGCTTGCAGGCTGAAGAAAATGAAAAGGGCTGCCGGTGTGTTGAAGAGCCTCCAGTGAGCAGCGTTTTTTCTTTCTGTGGTGAGACCTTCTTCTGGCAACATGTTGGCTTTCAAAAGGCTCACACAAGCTCAGGGGGAGCTAGAAGTGTTTTGTTTCAAATGCCAATATATGCAAAAGCCATAACTCCTAGACCCAGCCAATCCTGAACTTTCTGAATTAGAAAAATTCCCAGACAGCTTAACTCTTTAGTAAAACACAGAAGTTGAATGCAATGTATTTTTAATTCTGATAAGTGCCATATAGAGGATGTTTTTATAGTCTTTAGAAGTGTAGAGCAGGCAGAAGCAGGATGTGTCTAGCTAGAGAGTATAAAATCAAACAGAAATAAGAATATACCTAATATAACACAAGAATAATAAAAAGGCTGCTGTGACAGCACAGAGAGGAGTGCTAGTCCCTCCTCTGTGCATCTTAAAATGGTTTGGGCCAACAACTGTGCAAAGAACACTACAAAGATGGAACTTAATACAGGATTTTTTGATAAAGCAAAGTACATTTTAAGTTTTCTGGTGGTTCTGTGTTTTGTTTCTGTCTCCATAAAAAAAACTTGTGACAGAAGCGTTTAGACTGCACAGATGAAGAAGGCAGAGCGGCAACAAGAAAATAAGTAGTGGGTTAACAACCAGCTGCAGCTGTTCCTGAGGACATGATATTAAAGGAGAACTATGACCTAAGGGCAAATAAACATACCCCTTACCTTTAGTCTATTAGCAGTATTCATTATTTCCAAAGACGAAGCACATCTGAGAAAAACTCATCTTAAATCATAGAAAACAGCCACCTGCAGCCCTGATTCCAGCTCCTTTCCTGTTAAGGGGTCTTAACAGCTAATGCAGCCCACCCTCAGCTTTTTCTTCTAAACGTAAATCTGCTGTGGCTGTGTGGGTGGCCAGAGTGCTGATGGGCCGGAGAGAAGCACTTGCCGACACTGCACAGCACGTGGAGAAGGCGGGGACAGAGAAACAAGATGGAGAGGCAGATAGGAGAGACAGAGCTCCAGAGCAGCACGTGCCTGGAAGGCAGGCACTGGGGATGGGGACGTGGAGGTAGGGAGAGAGTTGCGGGACAGAGCTGCTGCGCATGCCCATATATTCGTGGACATGCAACAGCTCTTCCGAAGTGCCGTCAGTCAACTGACGAGATCATTGGGGAGGATTCCAACAGTATTGTCGGGATCTCTCCTCATTACGGCGCTTAGCCCCGCCCATCATCCTAAGAAAGCTAGTACACGCTTAGGGTGCATTTTGGCTAATAGGAGTAAATTGCAATATTTACTCCTTTAGCCTAAGGAATACAACATTGGAGATAAGCTTAGACCCCATAGTTCTCCTTTAACTATTAAAAAATTGTGTGAAAAAATTAAACCTAAAACAATATATGCTTACAGCGATATTTCACAGTTGAAGTGTAAAATTATATTTATTACTTTCAATATAAAAACATATTTTAGAAAAAAAGATCAAATGATTGCAGTAATATAGATGGTAATAGTGCCATTAGATTCACATGAATTACAATAACAAATAAGCAGTCTTACCATCCTCTCTGGACTTCTGGATGAAAGCTTCCACTCCACTTTCTCCATAGCTACCTTCAGATGCTAGTGTGGACACATAACTCCATTTCAGGGCTTTCGCAATATCAACCATGGCCTGAGCCTGATAAGTGTCTGATGGAACCACTCGAGAAAAAAAGTCATATCGACTGTTGTCACTTAGATCTGGAGCGGTGGAGGCATAGCTAATTTGCGGAATCTGTAAGGATGAGAAAGGCAGAGCAATTTAATAATAACATCAATTCAGCACTGCAAAAGATAAGATGAGGATTTTTAAAATTTGAAATGGCATATACACATAACCATTTTAAAAATGTCAATCAATAATAATGCAGTTTAACACCAATATACATTAGCAGTAAGTGCACAGTGGGATCAATGTGTATGTACGTGGGTTATATTTCCTATGCATGAGGCATTTGCTCATAAAGCAGCAAAACTTTTAGAAATTACACCATGGGAATCTATTTATTCTATTTGTTTAGCGATCAATTGCTACTTCTAGTGATTATCACTAGAACTTTTTGTGGAAATTGGGCATTTAAACATTAGCAAGTGGTTAAATTTCCTAGTAGCAAGCCCTAAAGCTGGCCATTCATATTATTTGTGTTATTTTTTATTCCTAATTCACTTAACTACAAGCACACGCACACACCATATATCAGTATATAAAATATGGCACCTGTGTGCTCATCTTTGGACTGCCAACTTCCAATCATTCAGTTGTGTAAAGGCGCTATCCTAGGTAAGATTCGTATGACCATTTCTACCCTTTATATATCCTCGGAAGTTGGATTTCTGCTTTAAGCTCCTGAAAAAATACTTTTTTCAGCACCTGAATATTTACCAAAAACCATGCAAAAAGTAAACCCATCATAAGAAAACATATTTAAATGCAATTCTGTTGAATGGACCTCATACGTTACAGTTGATGGGGAAATGAGCAGCTAAAATAAAAAATTAAACTAACAGTGTGCTTAGCTGTGGGTATATACTGTTGTTAACTTTAGGATGCCTATAGATCAGGACAAGGAAATAAAGGATTGAGAAAAACGATGGCTGGGAATTTTTAGCCACTACCTACAGCAAAAGCTGATCAAGAGGATGTGTCACTACAACAAAGCTTAATGCTATAACGCATTATAAATATATGACATGTCTGCACATTTGCTGGTAAGGGAAATGCTTAGGGAAGACATTTTCATATAAAACTGTCATTGCATTTCTTAGAAAAGATGTGCTTTTTTAATTTTACTTGCAGCTTTTCACATTCACATTCGCAGATTTTATAAATACTTCACATTGTAAGAAGAGAGAAAGTAAAATGCAGAGTCTGTTACTTCATTGTTACACCAGGTTAATCACTTTGAAAGGATTATATTATTTTTAAATATTTGAGGTTTGTTCCTGATATCAAGTAACACATTTTACTAGCAATTTAATTTTTTTTTTTTTACTAGCAGTTCCTCAATGCTTTAAATACTAAGGGGGTTATTCACAAAGCTGCCAAAGGCAGCCAAGTGAATAACCCAGCTGAAGTGAAGTGAGCCGAACAACCCAAATGTTTCCTATTGGCCGTCTTCTAGCAAGTCCTGGCCAATGAACAACAACAACAACCATTCCTGGTATAAAAAAGTGGGCATTTACTCTATGCAAATGGCAACACACAATGCCTTTATTCTCCATCAAAAGGCAAATGCTGAAGGGAAAGGAACGTACATAATGTTCCAACTTCAGTTAATTTCAGGGCTGCTGGCAGAGAGCCACAAGGAGAGATCAGTTGACCCAGAAAAAGTGAGAACTGAGGCAGCTCACTTGTGCTACCGCTTAAAACCAACCCCCAGAAAAAAAAACCTCACAAAAAAGATTTAGGGTATGGTATAAGAGGGCAATGAGGACAAAAACAAGCTTCTATTGCCCCGATTGCCCTTCTCAGCCTGGCCTGTGCATAGGCAATTGTTTCAAGGAACACCCCACAGAGAGTAAACACAAACAGAAATTTGTCACTGTCATATGGGGTAACGAGGCTTTAAAATTCTGCTTACTATTTTATTTTAGGTTTTATAGGAAGTAAAAAAGGTTTCTAATGTCTAGTTAAAGTTCTAGTGTAAAAAGTTTAAAATGCTTAGGAAGTTCAGTGAAGAGGCTTACAGAATTCTGACAGCTGACTCAGAGGCGTCAAACTGTGCCTCAGATGTTAACGCAGCACAATATATGCCCCATGAGATACCCTGGAGTGTCTACTTTCACAAGTGATAGGCCTTTCTTGGGTAATTGTAACTGTCAACCTGCTAAGGTGCCCCAAAAGGAAACAAAGGCCGTCAAATCCATGTATAAAAATTCACTCCTGAAAAGCTGAAATGGCCTGGTCTCTTAGACAAAACAGTGTCCATGGCATACAATGGGGGTGTTGTTTTACTCAGATGATGTAGCTGAGCATAATTTGGTGGGTTTATCACAGTGACACACATCAGAATTAAAAAATAACCAGAAATAATGCAAAAAATATGTAACAAAATTCAATAAAATCGTTTTTTAACACAAACGTTGATGTAAGCCTGTGAAAAATGGTGATAAAACAAGGTAGAATATACTGTATGCCCTATGAGATACTCTAGAGCAGTGGTGGCGAACATTGGCACTCCAGCTCCAGCTGACTTGCCTACAGATCTCGTTTTTTTGCAAAATTGTGCAGCTAAATCCGCACAATAAATCGCTTAGGTGTGCACCAACGCTCACCCAGAGGATGCAGCTAAACACAATTTGGGGTTTTGTACAGGAGTAGCACACATCAGGTTTGCAAGATATAAATTACAAAAACCTTGTTGTATATGTGTTTGTAAAAAAACACAAAAACACAATTTTACTACAATTTGTGACAGAAATTGGCAGTGAAAAGGTTACATAAAAAGTGTCAAAATACCTTTAAGTATTTACCCTGTGATGTCTACTTTATATAAATATATACTTTTCTGTGGTCATTTTGCCTTCTGTAATGGCTATTAAAGTTAGGAGACAAACATACCACATTCTAAAATTGTTCCATACTGAATTTTTTTTTTCACTCCTTGTATTTTGTGACCTATAACTCCCAAAATAAACTGAAATCCCAGATATACGATATACCATATTAATCACGACAAATAAACAAATGTATTATGAATTATTTTCTGTTAGCTACACTAATTATGTACATATTACTATTGCTAAAACTGTGCACACTGTGTTTTTGTTCCATTTCTTTGTATTTTTGTGTAACAAAATAAGATTTTGTATGTGCATATGTCATATCAAATTAAAGGCAATTTTGTCCTTTAAAAATAGTACATAATATGTGTAGGTGCAATGCATGAGAAAGATAGAAATTATGCCTAAACACATAGCAAAAATGGCAAAATTGCTTTGGTCCCCAGGATCTAAAAAAATTCTGAAGCTGTGTCACTAAGAGGTTAAACACTAAAACAGTATTTACATAAAAAAAGAAATAACTAATGCCATAAATGCTGCAGCATCTGGCAAAAACTGGCTGCGCTAGAAGGTACTCTACAAAATGTGAGCTATATGAGCGAAAAACCATGACACCTAGGTGTGAACGAAGACTAAGAGGGTTATTCACTTATCTGTGAAGGACCCAGCCATAGCTTCGGCTGATCCTTCGGCTCAATTCAACCACCGGAGCCCTTCGGTTCAGTTGAACCGTCCTCAAGTTCTTTGAGGACACTGGGCTGTCATTAAATGACAACAACTGGACGGAGCCAGCCATGATGTTGAGTGCGGTCGAACCAGCGGGCGACCGTTTTTTTTTTTGTTTATTTATAATTTTTTTATTTCGCCTAGTCGTCATCTTCGTGGACAATGCTGGACGTCGTGATTGACCCTGGATTATGTTGTTGGATCGATTTTTAAAAAACATTTTTAATAAAGGTCTTGTCAAAAATCCATTGTGGTGTTTTTATTAAAATTAGAGAATTTTTGATTAAAGTTTGGTCTTTTTATTTATCTTTGATTTAACCTTTTAGTGAATGAGTAGGGGTACAAGTACCTCTTACTCATTCACAATGGGGAACGCATCTGGCTGCCACTTTATTAAAGGGGTACCCCAATGCAAATAAGCCCCCCTGCCCGCAGACCCCTACAACCGCCTCAGGGCTTGTGGCGAAGAGGCCCTTGTCTCCATCGGCACTGGAACAAGGTGCTTTTCCAGGTGCGACCCTGGAAAAGCACCCTCCCAGTGCTAAGGCCTGGTATGGCAAGGGGGCGCTCACTCATCCTTCCCCCCCTTTCCTGCCCTGCCAGGCCTGTGCTCAGATCAAGGGTCTGGTTAGGAATTTTACGGGGGACCCCACATTTTTTCCCACATTTTTGGGGGTGGGGGTTCCTCCTTAAAGTTCCTACCAGGCCTACACATTTTTCTTTTTTAAATGGGGTTCCTCCTAACTTTCCTACATTTCCTACATTTATTTAAATGATTTTTTAAAGATTTTTTCCTCTTTTGCTTACATTTTTAAAAATTCAGAATAACCAAGCTGAATGCCGCTATGAGAATAGGGGCGAACGGCAGCGAGTGAACTGTTGGATCGGTTGAGTCGAACGGCTTCTGCACTTCGGCTCAGCCGAACATGCATGTTCGCCTGACCGAAGGCAGCCAAAGCCAGCCTATGTACGGCTGAAAATAGCCGTACAAAGCTGAAGTGAATAGCCAAACGACTTTTGGCTCAGTTCACTTCAGTTATTCACTCGGCTGCCTTCGGCAGCTTAGTGAATGACCCTCTAAGTATAAGGAAATGTTTAAGGCTTTACCTGTTACCTGTGTATCTGTCCTTTTTCATTTGTTGTGCTTAGTTGCAAAGTTTCTCTGTATGTCCTCTTAGCATATTTTCTATCTGTTCTACTACATGTGTCTGTAGGAACACCAGCCCTGTTCATCTCTTTCTGCAGCCAATGCAAGAATCCTATTTACATTTTAAACACATTCCAGCTCACATTTTCCTAATGGTATTTCTTGAAATGCATATTTGTTGATATACTTGGGGGTTAATAAGAAGTGTCTGACAAGAGGTACAAAGAACTAAAGGATTTGTTATCATTTGGGAGTCAGATGACATCAATTATAAATATGTATAGAAATAGAAGTTGACGTAGAAAATAGAAATCTGTGCTTCTTGTATGAATAACTCATCAAATCATATAAGTGCATAT